AAATTGAACGTGATACATAACAGCCAAGTGATGATATAACTTTTACTTGTGCGTGCGTGTTTGCATATATATATATATATTATATATATATATATATATATATATATATATATATATATATATATATATATATATATATATATATATATATATATATATAGTATCAGCAAAAAAGGTAATAGGTGAGTCGTGCCGCTCGCTGAAATTGCGGCGTGAGCACTGCTCCTCGGAAAAAGTAAAAGTGGTGGGAGGACCCGATCTTCACCGCAGGCGCTTGGCAGGCGTTTGTCAATCAAATAGATTGACGCATGAACTCAGATACAAGCTCAGGTCGCGGGGTCGAATCCTGTCTGCGGCGGCTGCTTTATCGATGGAGGCGAAAATGCTGTATGCCCTTGTGCGCAACTTGGTGCACGCTAAAGAAGCCCAGGAGGTCGAAATTTCTGAAGCCCTCCACTAAACGTCTCTCATAGTGATATGCTGGTTTTGAGACGTGAAGTCCCGCATATCAATCAATCGGATACAAGCTCCTCGGTTACGAGAAGGCCCCTGTTCAACATGTGCCTGTCACGGTGCCTGTGCGAATGTCAAGCGTTTGATGCGGTTGACGCTAGGCAGTAGATACGTTTTACATAAAATAATGTGGTCATCTTGCACTGTTTTGCAAGGTTGGAGCCATAGAGGAGTTGTGATAACCTCGCTTCTTCCAGCTTTTTGATTCGGTCGTCTACTCATCCGTTGGTCTGCTTCCAAGGGAAGGCCGCATAAGCTCATTTATTTAATTGAATTAATTACCTGGGGCTTAATAAACATAACACTGAACAGTATTGTCTTAATTATTGTGGTTACAAATAAAACGGCAATAATTATCTCGAGTGCAATAAACAAATTCAACATTAGTGTAGAGCTTTCTAACGTAATTCTTATTAGCATGGTATAAAATATAGTCATAATGTCTATTTACCGCAGTTTTACGTAGTATGCTCCTTATTAAGATCACGTGTTAATCAGCATGGTTTACGTAATGCGTCAACTAGCATGCTTTGGTAGGCACAGTTCTACTTTCACGTGGCTTCATTACCATGATATTATTAGGATGTGGCGTAATTACCTCGGTGTAACTATGTCTTGGCCTAATTACAATGGTCATAGCATGTCCTGGCCTAACTAGCCAAGTATACCAGCCAGCCAAATAGCTGACCAGTCAGCTGTACCGGCTCGGGTGCTAGCGGATGATGAATAGGACGAAGAAGGCACGAAGCGGCCCAGCAGCACGCACGAATGCACAAGCTGACCACGATGATTAACACGTGGCCTCATGTTTAGCTCCGGTAGCAATATTTTGAAACACTCTGCCGGAACGAATCTAAGACGCTACCATGCTAATTATTCTAAAGCAGACGTAGTGCAAGCATGAAAACTTTCAAAATGAATCACAATAGCTCGTGCCTTTAAAAAGCTTCTGACGCTTTCATTGCATGGGTGCGCTTTTGCATTCAGGGGAAAGAAAAACAAATGAAAGACACCCCTGGTCTGAAAACACCACCCAAGTTTGTGGACCATTCTTGACGCACTGCCGGATTCCATCGTAACCAATGCAATGCAGTGCGCTTAGGGCTGGATTTGACTTCTTTGCTTTGTTGGCACATTCATATAGGGGTATTGCAAGAGCTCGGAACGATACCGAGTTTTCACTGGCTTTCGCCAAGCACAATTGATTCTGCATACCGCCCCTGGCGGGGATTTTAACGCAATAGAGTTAAAGAGCTCGTTTCGCAGAAAATCTGGTGTCGGCGTCGGCGTCCGTGTCGGCGTCATTGAATGTGAGCAAAAATCACCATCTAATGCGTGACCAAAAACTCGAGAACTATGCAAATAAAATACTTAATTGTTAAAGAAGCCTTGGAGCAGAGTGGAGACCAAACCAGTGTTGTTGGGGTTTGCGTGGCAAGTGGATGTTTTACCACACGGCCACTCCTCTGCTCATGAAAACAATGAAAATAATTACTCTGCTTGTAAATTCAGTGAAAGTAGCTTTCATGCCTCAGACACACGCCTCATGTATACTTGCTTCACAATGCAACATGAAATATTGCAGTAATAGTGAGTGGTTAAGTGTCCATTGCTAACGGGTGCCAAAATATCTTATTATCCTAATGACTCTCTGGTTGAAGGCAGATACACCACTAATTCATTGATTATTATGTGGAGTTTAACGTCCAAAAACCACCATATGATTATGAGAAACGCCGTATTGGAGGGCTTCGGAAATTTCGACCACCTGGTGTTCTTTAACGTGCGCACAAATCTGAGCACACGGGCCTACATTCCCGCCTCCTTCAGAAATGCCGCCGCAGTTGGGATTCGATTCCGCGACCTGTGGGTCAGCAGCCGAGTACCTTAGCCACTAGACCACTGTGGCGGGGCAGGTACACCACTACGAAAGGCAGACACGCTACCGCGCCTATTCTCTTAAGGCCAGGTAGTGGATGCATAGGAAATTCAAAAAGGTTTCATGCACTAAATGTTTGAAGTACACACTACAAACAGGATGACGCTATCGCGTTCAGCTCCTAAAGGCGAAGCTTTAGGGTCCCTAATTTTTCGCATGGCGTGTGTTTTACGAGTGCCAGGCATGACTGTCAAATTTAAGCCGAGCTGGTGCGTGAGCGCGAGCCGCAGGATAGCGCTACGGTGACGCCAGCTTAATGCATAATATTTGCCTAGCATTCATTCTTAGTGCATCAATTCTGTTTTTTTTTTTTCATTCTGATGCGTATATCTACTCCTTTTATGTAGCACAAGCTTCGAATTTATTATCTACGTACACTTGGAATATTTATGTCCGCATGCCCAACCTCTATGTACACTCGCCACAGGCTGGGTTAACCTATTAACATAGACATGTTACCCAATACTCTTCTGATATTTTCTGTACAATTTAGTACACCTTTCACAACCATATTATTACATATACTACAATCATAACAATAGCTAAGCCAAGAAACCACGAAAGGAAATGTGTCAAAGAAACCTATGCAATACGAAATGGGTGGTAATATTCGAACAATATTGCAAAAACCTAAATAAATAAAAATGAGGAAAAAATACCAGTAATCTGATTATCCTAGCATATTTATGTAAAAAAATATATCAAAAAGCTGAATGTATAAGGACAGCCGCATGAATAAAAAAAACAGGCTCGTCTGGTAATTGGGCCTGCGGTCTTCTCCGCTTTTGGCGAGAATCGTAAGTCACAATTTATACTAACGAAAGCATATAACATTCTGGTGAGTTCCTTTGAGCTTGTTCAGAATAACTCTGTTTTACTTTGTCTAACTATAACAGAAGTGTTAGAATTTCAACCAAGAAAACTTGCCTTGCACTTCCTTCCTTACATCTCGCAGAATAGTCTCCTGTTTAACACTATTTTACCAGATATACAATCATCCCTTCTTGCATGACAACCATTTGTACGCCCACAACAGATATCTCGCCGCAGTGACCACCATTACAAAGTAGGAATCTGTTTATGCAACGCCAAAACTTTCTTCAATTCATTCTTGCCTCGTACATCAAACAAGTGAAACAGACTTCGCGGTGAGATTGTTACTAATATCAATCTTTTTTTTAGGTCTTAGTGTTGCAGTCACCAAAATTGTATAATTAGGTTCTGTGTTGTATTAGCTCACATGTATTCTATAGTGTATTAGCAGACGTTATATTTAGAGCAGATTTATTTTTACGATCTCACCGTATTCGCCACTTTTTGTTCATATAAATAATTTTTGTAACAAACCACCCCCTCTGTAATGCCATTTCACCCTGAGAGTAAAATCAGTGAAATTAAACAATAAATAATGTTAATTCGTACTATTTATGTACGTAAATAACTATAACATTAAAAACGCACTGGTATTTGAAATAACAATATTAATTACGATATTGATTATAATGTTACGGGTAACTTATTTAATAAATTAAATACGAAGCACTGTGCTCGGCGAACAAGATGGCGACTGTTCATAAACAACCAGCCACCAACGTCGTCTTTCTCTTTCTTCCAGACAGGCTGTGCCGGCTGTTGCGTATCATAACCCCCCGGTGGTAGAAGCACCGTCTCGGTGCTTGAGCGACTCGGATGCGGTAGAAGGAGGGTGATAGGGCTTGAGTCGAGCTATGTGCACGATGTCACTCGAAGGTGACGATGATGACGTTGAATCAACTGGAGCGATCTCGTATGTAACGTCAGTCACCTGGCGAACGACGCGGTATGGTCCAGTGTAGCGTGACAGCAGTTTTTCAGAAAGCCCTACACGCCGAGTGGGGGACCAGAGGAGGACAAGGGAACCCGGTGAAAAGTGCACGTTTCGATGATGGGAATCGTAGAGCTGTCTTTGGCGCTCCTGTGAAGCCTGCAGGCGGCTGCGGGCGAGTTGACGTGCGTGGTCGGCTCGCGCGATGGCTTCGCCGACATACTCAGTGACCGAGGGCAGCAAGGTGTCAAATGGTAGGGCGGGTTCTCGGCCGTATAGAAGATGGAATGGTGAATAGCCGGCAGTGTCGTGACGTGACGAATTATATGCGAACGTCACAAATGGCAAATGAACGTCCCAGTCCCGGTGGTCGGCCGCTACGTATTTAGAAAGCATGTCGATTATGGTGCGGTTGAGGCGCTCCGTAAGACCGTTCGTTTGTGGATGGTACGAAGTGGCAAACTTGTGCTTGGCAGAGCAAGAGCGCAGGATTTCATCAACGACAGCTGATAGGAAGGTGCGGCCCCGGTCAGTGAGAAGTTGGCGTGGAGCTCCGTGTACTAAAATGATATCATATACCAGAAAGTTCGCCACATTGGTTGCGCAACTCGTCGGAAGTGCTCGTGTGATAGCGTACCGTGTCGCAATATTAACGTTTATATAAACAATATAATTGATAGCAATCTCAGTGAATTACGTGATTATTCACCCAGAAAATATAATGACCAGGCACAAAATGCGTTGTTACCTAAGGCCGATGGTGACCACCAGGAAGTGGCAGCCTTGAGACAAGACGGTCAGATGGTGCTGCGCCGACGTCCCTCTGTACACAAGCACACTCTTGAGGATGAACTCCTCGGCGCACATGTGTGCATCCTGGGCTATCCGGGTGGGCCACTCGTGGGTTGGCGACACGACCACTACTTTCGGAGTTTCCACGGACTGGTAGGATAGGTTTTTGAGGCCAGTGTCACTCAGCAGCGTGTGCAGAATGGGTAGCACGAATGCCACCGTCTTTCCAGAACCAGTCTGTACGCAGGCTATGAAGTCCCGGCCGACCAAAGAAATATTGACGGCGTACTTCTGTACGGGCGTCAGCTTGACATACTTCGTGCCTCAATTTCCGCAACTGTAGATCCTACAGGCTCATTTCACCAATGCTGGTTAATGACATCCAAAACTGATGGTCACTAACTTCTCCGGGAATGACATTGTACTTGTCGAATTTGGTAGCGGTGGAGATGGTCGACAAGAGCGTGTCCTCATCCGTAGGAAGAGAAGCCGAAACACAGGGTGCCTCCATTGGTTTGCTGTCGAGAGCCCATTCGAGACAAAACCTCGTTCGTGCAGCATTGGCCATGTGGCCCTTCTGCTGGAACTTCAAGAAACCGCGGGGCCGGTAACCCCTGTCTTTGGAGAAGTCTCTCCCTCTTACGCCACCAGCGTCTGGGTTGGGGCACTCGCCACTCGTATGCCCCTCCTCGCCACACTTGAAACATTCTTTGGAGCACCACTCCTGCTGAGGATTTAGGTAGTGCCGGCTCATCTGAGTGTGCTATTCACAGATGAAGAAGCTCTTTCTGGGTCTGTTATCGCAGGAAGCTGTTGGGCAATCCCGACTGATGCAGATCTCCTCGCCATATTTGAAGCAGCCTATTTAACCGCCTCTACCACCATGGGAGGAATTAGTGTTTGTGCAGTCTCGAGTCATATAGCCCTCCTGACCAAACCTAAAGCAACCTCTACCATCAGGGCAGCCGCCACCCAAAGAAGCGGAGTCTACTTTGGGACATTCAGGACTCACGTGACCTTCTTCACCTCACCTAAAACAACCTCTTTCACGACCGCACACAAAGATTGCGTACGCACAGTTTTTACTGAGGTGTCCTTCTTAGTTGCACTTCAAAGAGTCTCTGCTTCCTCCTCCTCCTCCTCCTCCTCCAGAACAGTCACATCCGAAACTGCCCCACCACCAACCTGCTGGAGCCTCGCCCAAAACTGGAACTGGGCTCCGCCTTCCAGCCGCTGCTCGAATCTTGCTCTTGCCAGGAGTCGTTCTAGGCTGTCGTGCCTGCAACATTGTTGCTGTCACCCACATCTGATGTGGGTGACAGCAACAGCGGGATCGAATCCCGGCTGCGGCGGCTGCATTTCCGATGGAGGTGGAAATGTTGTAGGCCCGTGTGCTCAGATTTGGGTGCACGTTAAAGAACCCCAGGTGGTCAAAATTTCCGGAGCCCTCCACTACGGCGTCTATTATAATCATATGGTAGTTTTGGGACGTTAAACACCACAAATAAATCAAATCAATCAATCATTGCCGACTGATTGCTTTAACGAAGACCATGACGAAAGCAAGTTTGGTCTTTCAGCGTCATCGTCTTTCTTCTAACTGCCTCGGAGCAGTAAGCATGTACACCGGTGTTCGTTTACTTCGTCCTTGTACTCAACAATATTAAACAGTGTGTAGAAGTCCTACTATCTAGTGAGCCATAGGCAAATGCCAAATACGTCACCTGAAATAAGTGAAAAAAGGTTATTGGAGTTGTCTTGGCAAAAATGAAAGATAAAATCAAATAACACACCATAAATTCTCTATAGGCGATCATCACTTAAACATTTATGTTAGGAATTTTTGTTATTATGACATTCTTTTCCTCGTGAACAGTGCCAGAGAACGGAACAACAAGAAGGAAGACGAACACAGGCGTCAATAGACAACTGATTTTAATGTTTGATGTTGTCGCCTAGAAGATCTTAGCTCATACCCACAAGAGATATTGACTAAAGTGTACCTTTAACGTAATTTTGATACAATGCTTGTTAAAACAGAGAGCAATCGGATGAGACCACGATGAGTAATAACGTACCTTAAATAGTGCAAAGGATAAAAGGAATGAATTAACTAGATTTCTTAAATAGCAAAAAAGAAGAAGGGGGACAAAGAACTGGACTTATCTGGCAATACTAGTAGCAGCGTATCCTTCCAATTGCCCGAGCGAATTTATGTAGCACTCACAGAATAACTCTACGTCCCGCACGCTACTGAATGGCTTGAAACGCTAAAAGGGTGGATGTAATGAATACCAATCCCAGCATACCAATCGCCCTATCAAGAACTATTTGACAGAGTGGGTAGAAACGACGGAATTTGAGAGAAACGTGATGTATGGTTTCCTGTTCATTGGAAACTGCACATAGGTAACATAATGAAAATTCGGATTTGTGAAAATAATAATTTAACTGGGGAACTCTACAGCGAAAGCATGTGAGGGTCAGTTCATATTGACGGCAAATGTATTTTACGGTGTTCCATGTGAGCTGCAAGTGCTGAAACTCTTCGGAAAGTAGGAGCAATGTTTCCTTGTTCTTTAAGACTAACCGGCTTTTGAATTGTTCTGCAGTAATCAAAGAAAACTGAGGAGCTACTAGTACCACCAGGAAATTAAAAGACGCGGAAGCGAGTGAGTCAGCATGTTCTTTTCGAACAATTCGACTTTAATAAGGCGGAACCTCATGCATGAATATTCATATACAGCGTAGGCACCACGTTCCAAGGAATATTTACACTGTGACAACAGAACATTAAGCAGCTGCTTTAATACCTTTTCTTTGCTGTGCTCCATCAAGCGTTGTAGCGTTTACCCTACGCAGATTTTATTTTATGTAGATACCTGAAGAATTGTGTATATTCAGGAGCTTGTTATCTTTGTTAGACTCTAAGTTATCAAATGCTCACGCTACCTAGGAGTTCCCACAGGCCACGGTGGTCGCATAGTACTTGCGGTGCTCGGCTGCTGACCCGAAAGACGCGGGTTTGATGCCAGCCGCAGTGGTTGCTTTTCAATGGAGGTGAAATGAAGAAGGACCATTTCCCAAAATTAGGCGTTTTTAATAAACACATAAGACGCCGAAATTCCGGAGCAATTAAAAAGAGCGTGTCTCAGAATCATATTGTGCTTTTGGCCTAAGAATTGCCGGAATTCTTAAGCAAGAGTTCAAGTGATATAAATCTTCCCGTATAGTGAACTGCCTAAAAAAGTCCAATTTTAGAAAACAATAGCGTAATTTGTGAAAAATATATAAAAATGTACGGGTTCGTCTGGGATTTTACCCTGGAACTTATCGCACCCAAACCCCGAACTATACGCCCACACCCACGAGCTAGACAGCAACAGCTTCGTGACACCTTTCTAATAACTCACCGAATGCAGAACGAAATAAACATGAATAGAAAGGTGAATGACTGTGAAGGTAAACATTTGCAAGTCTCTGGTTTGCCATCTGGATAGCATTTGGCAATATGTGGCTCTAAATAGAAGTGAGCAAAGTGAAAATTTAGAACCTCATGAACACAAGCGTCCATTTCCAGCGAAATGTATTGGATGGATAAATTGACGATGTTTTTATACAATCTCATGTAATGGTTACAAAAAAAGGTTTCCAAATATCACTTACAAAATTACTCTGAAGAGTACAATACCATCAGCCTCTCATGCCGAGGAAATAAGCACCTATTACATATCGCTTCCTTACGAAGACTATGACGGGAACAAGTTCTTGCACTTTTATCTAAAGAGACAAGTTTAGGGATTGTACCTCAACCGTTCTCATGGTATTGAATCAATCGCCGTAAAAATCAGTGTGGCTGGTTCGAGGGCAAAAAAAAAGAGGAAAAGGATGAAAAGGAACAAGAGAGTAAACAGAGCGCTTGCCAGTCACGATTATGACAGCTTTCTCTTGGCTATGCATGAATTAATGGTCTGTATAATCAATTTGCTGGTAAAAGTAAAACTGGCATTTGAGACGAACAAGCATTGTTCGTCACGTCATATAGCTAACTGCTAAAAAATGACTATAAATTTGCACTCGCCCAGGATTTGAACCCGGGATCTATCGCACCTAAAGCGAGAATCATACCCCTATAGACCAACGAGCCACACTGACGTTGAGCCAGTTGTACAGTTTCACTTTTTTGGTATCTTGTTCGCATACCAGAAGACTGTAATCCAAACCCTAAACAGGTAACATTTATCACATGCGAACTTATCACTGAAATAAAGAATGATTAGCTTTGTCCAAAATTTCATCACCGGTGCTTCTTCACAGTACGACATTCTTTGTCTTTGACCAAAGATTTTCTCATCGTTTCTTTTTTCATTTTTTTAGTACCATAGAATGCAATAACATTAGGTAGCTGACCTCTATTCTTTATCTTTAGCAACAAATATTGTTACGTGAACGACGAGTCAATAGACTGATTTATTCACCGGTCCTTCCTCACAATGAGACAATCTTTCTGTTTGTGCAATGACTCTCATTATCTTCTTTTTTTATCTTAAGTGGCATAGAGTGCAGTGTCATTTAGGTAGCTGGTGTTCTTCGCTTTTCTAAAGCAGAACATTATGTTACGTGAATGACGAGTCAATAGACTGATTTCAGAAACGTAGCTGAGTGTATAATGAGGACGCTGGCGATAAGTCGTGGAAAGCGTGGCGCATGCGCGATAGATGACAAGCAAGCGAAGCTTCACACTCTATTACATTTTCCCTTGTTTGAAACAGAAAAAAAACGATAGCAAAAAAGGAAAACAAAACTAGTGTTACAGGAAATTTTCTGTTTGAAAACATGAATAGCTTTGCTATTTGTTAAATTCGGGCAGTGGGTAACGTTGCGGCTTTCGGCGTGTACGCTCACTTCTTCGAAGAAAGTGTCGAGTTGCGTCTGTTGGTGCTGCTTGGGTTTCTGCAAGGGACTCGCGCACAGGCGCTGCGACTACTGTGGCTCTAAGATGTTATATTTGCAAGATTGTTTCAGCGCGCGAACAAATGAAAGAGGACAGGGTAGACAGAAAGAGCGCTGACTTCCAACTCACTTTATTTCACAAAGTGGCAAGAATATTTACGTCTAAAAAGGATGATTACAGAGCATGAAGGTAAAAAGCAAGCCTAATCTGTACACATCAGTAACAAAGCACGTGTAACGAGTCCTCTATTGCCTCAAATCCCAGCCAGGTAATGACGTTCAGCCTATAATAAAGCAACCGATGAAGTGCTTACGTACTTATCTCCTAGCACGTGAATTTTTTCGGCTTCGATGATTTCTCGGGTAAGCTGGTCCCTGTGCCTTGCCAACATAGAGCACTGATCAAACAGGGGGGTGCACCCACTCATTGTATTACTCAGTTACGACCGCGTTGGCCACGATGGACCAACCACTATGGCGGGAGTCCACGTTCTGCTGTGTGTGGCATATACGTACAATATGTTCCCACTAGGAAGGTCTGGCTGACTCCGTGTCATGCTGTTGTAGTAGAAACGCTGTTATGTCGTATTTCTTGCAGTCGCTGACAAACAGTTATGGGGGGGGGGGGGGGGGGGGGGGGGGGGGGGGGGGGGACCGTCTTCGACTTTAAGTGACAGTTGAGGACGGGAAGTTGGCGTCTGGTGTGGCGTCCCATGAGCCTTTGAGGTGGCGATGGTAGTCATTCGTCCCTCGAAGTATTCCGCCTATGCAACAAGGCACTGTAATATTTAAAAGTGGAAA